TCGCACACAACGCTGCTAATGATTCTGTTTTTAGAGAATTTTCCGAAGTTCATGAATCTTTAAAAACTTAACAAAATCCGGCAGCAGGTTTCCATCGAATCATATAGTCTCAATAATGATTTCGAAACATAGTTTAGAACAACTCTCTGCGAAATCAAAATCCCTTTTCTTACAGAACTGTAATGAGAAAACATATGAAACTATGGAAATAATGGGTAAAGCACCATCGTTTACTAATTTTTACGAGCCACCATCAACAAGCTATGACTGCAATGAAGCAGTAACTGCTGCGGCGAGTTACATCCAGGTACAGTTTGAAATTTGCATAAAAAAGTGAAATTGTGTAAATCTTGATTTTACTGCCTAGGATTTAGAAACAAGCAAACTGTTCGGGAGATCAGCTAAGTAAATCAGCAGAATCATACATTTTTATCAACCCCGCAAGAGTGAGGACTTATTGAGATATTCAATCTGTTGAATAAGTATCCTTCATTTGTAATCCATTTATTTATTGTCCCATGCACTCATGGAGCTTTCTGACTAAGTAATCTACTGGCACTCAAAAATGTCAGTTTTGTATATTATGCAAAAGAGCTGGATATAGCATTCTCATGTGCGAGTTTGGATGCACAGTGTCCTGCCAAGTATCTTGCATAATCCCTTCCCGAAAATTGTTTTAATACTTATCAACTTTGTTTTTGTCTTGATAATAACTGGCGAATAATTGTTGAAGGGGAAGTCAGGCAAATAACTAATGACACCTCTTCCCTAAGGAAGCGAATACTAATTTTTGACATTCGTAGCACAGTTTTTGGTAAACTTTTGGGCAAAGCAATATTTTATTTAGGATAAATTACCCTTGACAAATACGCGTAGATGTTACATCGAAATGCAGTCAGGGCACAGGCTGGAGATACTGGCTCGAAATGGCGTCGTGAATAGCTGTCGTTCGATTCAGGAAGATTCGCTCGAAGAAATACATTGAGAATGCCAAATGCCGACACGCAGAACCTGGTCGAAAAACAAAAATAAATGGGTGGCTGTCCAGGGCATCATCGCCTACCCCACACTTAGTCAAATTCATCCACAGCCGCTTTCCTCGCAGCGTAACTGCCTCTCCCATAGAGCCCCTTTTACCGTAGTTCTATTATTTTAAAAAATTTAATACGAAATACATTCAATAAGTAAGCAAGGCAAGGCTGGGCAAGGAAATCTATATCGAAGAACGCTCCCTTTCGAAGGAGAATTAGTCGTACAGCGGATTTAAGTTTGGAGCACATGTGCAAATTAGGTCAAAACCATGCAAAATGCATTTTCGGACTGATTTCTTGGAGTAAACTGCTGTTTGTTACAGATGTGTTGAGAAACAGAGAGAGAGGAATGAGGCTAGAGACAGGGCGGCGCATCAGTAATTAAATTTGGAAGGCCAGTTAAGAAACGATTTTACTGTAACAGACTTGGGAAGAAATTTGCGAAGAGTTCGAAATATTTTTGGGGAACGGGGTAGAGGAAGGGAAAAGGAGGATAGGCTTTTGAGAGAACCACAGTTCCACGAAATATACTGAATTCTTGCTGTGCGCAGGTACCAAAGCCGATCGCCCAGATAAGTAGCATTGAACAGGCAATCGCTAACGCACCGGCGCCAATTTATTTGCGGCCGAACGAACTGTGCTTTGATGATGTAGCCGATAGCGGCGAAATACTCAGTGAATTTTTCATGCCCTCGAGTTTCACCATGCAGCCAGTGAAAAGTATCATGGAGCCTGCCATTCCACCAGCAGTAAGTGCTCGCATAATTTCATATTTTTTCACTGAAAAGGGCGTAGCACAACACTGCAACAATCTGAATACTCTGTGTTATACGGTATGATCCGATAACGGCGTGTCTTTTTGAATTTCAGACAGCCGCTCAGATATCTAGCGCAGAGCCACCGACGTTTACACAGCTTTATAACTTTTATGAACATTATGATCACAAGGATGCATGTTCGACATATGGCAATGAGAATCAAATTAGCAAATGCGAGACTGACATTAAGACGTGTAGGCTTTTTTTCAATTACTGCACTTAACTCTGCAACATTCAGAAAGGCAGCTGTTTGCTAGGTTTTATCGTAAAAGAAGGGAAATTACTCAGATTCAGCTCGGTTCGGCCGCGCAGTGTACACTTACTTTTGGAACTGAGTTGCGAAAATTACACCGGATTTTGTCTAGGTAAGG